AACAGTTGCACAAGAGGACTTATTCCTGAGCGGAAGCATCATAGTTCTTGCGCAAGAAGCACTGATTTCACACATTAGAATGTCAGTGTTCTTGCGCAAGAACTCCCCGCCAGTGTAGACAGGCAGCATGTTTTTGTGCAAAAGCGGCCACTTTGGGGCAAGATCATGCCAATGTAGACACAGCCTCTATGTCCTTGATTTCTGAGTTCCTGCTGCCTCAAGCCCTTAGTGATTTGTCCAAGGGCACAGAAAGAGTAATTTAGGCACTTCTGAATCCTATGCTGACTATGCCCTAGTCTACCCTACAGTTTGGTTGACATAAAGCAACTTACATTGACCTACTTGTGTCTATACTATAGCCTTGCTCTGACTGATGAACGTGCCTCACTGCATCCCCAGAATTTTACCTCCACTGGGTTGGCGAAGGGCTTATGGCATAGTATAGTGATGCACAGTTAGCGTAAACACTGTTACTTACAGCAGCTGTTGGCTTTCTTGTCGTCATAGCTATGAAATGGATAAGAAAGCCCAGCTCCCCACCTGGAGCCTGGCTGTATCTAACCTCCTGCTTGGAGCCTACCTGCCCCCTGAGCCTAAAGAGATCACAGCTGATGGTGAGAAACTGCATCTGTCTTCTCCCCTTCTCTCACTGGGGAGCTGAGACCTGGGTCTTAGCTGCCCACACTGCTCCATTTGTCATTGTAAATAGGGATGTTAAAATGCCTTTAGTTGTGTAAATGTGTAACCGCTGCATTTTTCAGCAGTTTCATCTTTACATATGGGGGAGGCGGGTGGTAGTGATTGTAGGGAGCTGGCTTTTAAGCTGGCTCCCCATAAGCACGAGCTCCCATTTCCCTCCTGCCCTGTGCTGCTACCCCTGTGGGAAGCATCAGTGCAGGGGAATGAGAGACAGAGCAGGCAGCTCCGTGGAAGCCAGTTCCCTGCACATTCTGGCTCAGCAGAGCCGCATTCCCGCGTGTACCAGCTCCCACCTGCCTCCTCACCACCACACTACTGCCTCTGTAAGGCGGCAGCACAGCCTTCTCCCCAGGCACACGGGTGGTGCATGCTGATACCGGTGGGAGGATGGGAGCTGTGAGTAATTGAGAGGGTTAACACATGTACTTGGATACATGTTCACATCTCTACTTGGAAGTAGAAAATGCTCCTTGTGAGGATGCACCCCCTTAGCCCCTGGGGGTAGTGTGTCCATCAGCCACCACAGTAAATTAGTGCTGTGGCTATACACTGACCTAACCTATTGCCATCTTAAGATTGTAGTGTAGATGTGTCCTATACTCAGACTACTATTCTTTAATAGTGTATCCAGTCCAATGGTTTAGTTTTAAAGAAGTGTGGGATAAAACTATCAGCCTAGTTGCTGTATTTAGCATATTGATTAAGCATTCCAGGAAAAATGGTTTTAGCCATTTCTGACTTTTTTGTAGCGCTGTGTCAGACAGCCTGAAATAAAAGCTCCGGTAGTGGCATGTTTAAAAGTACCCTATAGAATTTTCTCATAGGCACCTGCATGCAATACATGTTATAATTAAAAGTTTAGTTATTAAATAAGACAGAGCATATTCTTCCCTTGTTCAGTATACAAGCCTTCCACTGACAGTCATGGGATAATTTTCTATGGAGTGTCTTATGAAGAACCTGAATCTCACTGGAAGTGCAATGTGACTTAGTCTATGGACTACATTACACATGCCCCCCTCTCGCTGCCCTCCTACCCCCACCATTGACAGATTTGTACAATGAATGTAGGTAGCATTCTGACTGGTTATTATATGCAGAATAGAAGACCTGCTACTAGGTATCAAGCAGCAAGAGAAGTGTTTGCCTAAACCAGGGGTCGGCCACCTCCGGCACCTGTGCTATGAGAGGCACACACAGCCTAACCTACTGCTGGCACCCTTTCCCAGCAGGTTAGGCTGTGCACACAGTGGCTCTGCGCTCGGAGGCACTGCCCCTGAACTGGCTGCAGTGCGTTCTGCTGCCTGCAAGTCTCTGCCCCACCACTGCATGTTGTAGGGCCCCTTCCCCCACAGGGACCTGCCTGCGCTGCATGGGGCCCCAGGTCCAGCTGTGCTGCTGCCTCCTTCAGGCCTCTGCTGCAGGGGGACCTCCGTGCCTTGGAGCTGGTGGCGAGTGGAGCGGGTGGTATGGCACCAAATGGCCCACAGCTGGTCGAGCTGCTGCAGCCCCAGCAGGCTACGGGAGGTGGGAAAGAGCTTGGGGCCCAGCCTGTGCCAGAAGGTGCTGTTCCTACTGCCCTGGCAGCCCCGAGGGACCAGGCGAGGTGCTGAGCGACCCCTGCTTGGCTGCCCCCTCTGCCAGTGGGTGCTGTACAAGCCCCTGACCCTGCACTCTGGCCACACTTGCTGCCAAGGCTGCACTGCAGCTGCCTGCCACGTGGTGCAAAAACAAGAGCCCCCTTCACCTCCTCATGCCCAGATCCCCACTTCCTCACTCATCCCCCTGCTCCCAGCCAGAAAGTCTGGCTGCTCCTGCCCCCTGGCCAGACAGCCTGCCCCTAGCCTAGGGATATTAACTATCGGTTAATTGAATAGCCAAGTAACCTCATGAATTCTTATCGGTTAGTTGACTACTCTATAGTACCCAGGGGTGGAGCCAGCAGCCAGTGCGCTCTGGACCCGCTTCTGAGGAGCCCCCTGCCACTCCACGTTGCTGCCTCTTTATCAGATGCAGCAGCATGGGGTGCCAGGTGGGAGCTGGTCTGTGAGGGGAGCCAGTTTAAAAACCAGCTCCCCTCAAGGACTGGCTGCCTGTCTCCCCACGCTGCTGCCTCTGATACAGCCAGGACTGAGCTGGGTTGCTGGCCAGCCTGCTAAAAAATGTACTTGGGGGTAGAGGGAATACATATAGGCTGTGTCTAGATTGGCATGATTTTCCGGAAATGCTTTTAATGGAAAAGTTTTCCGTTAAAAGCATTTTTGGAACAGAGCGTATAGATTGGGCCTGCCAGCCTAGCTCTTAATACCCTTTTAATGCAGAGCCGCAGCAAGGGTAGGTTCTGGACCCATCACAAGCTAGCAATGAGCCAGGTTGCTGGCCAGCCTGCTAAAAAATGTACTTGGGGGTAGAGGGAATACATATAGGCTGTGTCTAGATTGGCATGATTTTCCGGAAATGCTTTTAATGGAAAAGTTTTCCGTTAAAAGCATTTTTGGAACAGAGCGTATAGATTGGCATGGACGCTCTT